TGCCTAGCCCGTCTCTCTCTGCCTCCCCACCCTCTTAGCTCCATGTCTAAGTGAGGCAGCTAGTTAGATGCTGAGTGAGTTGCAGAAGAGTGGGAGGGAGATGGGAACACAGGCCTAATTCTGCCACAGCCAACAAAGCATCTGCATGGCACCTAGCCTGCTCCCTTACTTGTTAGATCAGAAAATGTGCCTGGGGCATCCCCTCCTCACTCCTCCTTACCTCAGACATGCTACAAAATCAGTGACCCCAGGAAATCAACCCGTGTGACCATGTGGCTGCTCCCCTGGGATCTTTTGAGTGAACTTAGAAAACTGGAGGTGTCCTAAAAGCATCCTGTCCCATGGCATATGGTGTGAAGTCATGGCATTATGTATAACAGTGAAATAGAACCTTACAGTATTCAAGTAACTGGATCTTATTTTGATATTCTGAATAGAAAGAAATGCGATATCATCAAGATAACCTCTCTTGAATTTGAGCCCCTAGGTTTAATTTGTTATGTCTTGGAACAACCTGCATGAAACATTTGGCAAATACTTCTTGGATCACTTTAAATGGGTCGATTTGCGTTAAACTCACTAAGCTTTGTTTGCCATAGTGTCACATGTCCTGTGAAATGTACATGTTATGTTCTCTTGTGGATTTGGGGTTTTAAGTTGAGGGGAAAACCTCATTGTCTTAAAGATAAAACTGCCCATATTGTGGAAATTTGGGGGGCTAACAAGAATGATCTTTAATATTTACAGTTACTGAATCTTTAGAGGATGCTAATGATGGTATTTCCCTTTCTGTTGTACATGAACAGAAAAGACACTGTAGGGTCATTTTGTTATTTAGATTTCATTTCTTGACATTTAACAACATATTATAAGTTTATTAATAAAAGATCCAGAATTTTGGAAGCCCATTAAACAAAAAATACAACTTAACGGAAACGGTATAGTATGTCTCTTGTAACAGCCCATTTTTCCCCCTCTAAATAGAGATTATAAAAATTGAGCTCCTCCTCTCCAGAGATGTACCAACAGGCTCTCTTCTGGCATGGGTGATGAACAGAGAGGGTGGGCCAAGGCCAAGACACCATGAACAAATTGGCTGTGTAATATTCCTTTTCTTTATTGTAAAGGACTCTCCTAAAGAAAGGGTTTTGAATCCAGAAATATGTGCTGCAAACTTCATAGTTATTTCAGTGGGTGTCCCACGAGTACAGGCATGCTCACTGTAATGGTTAGCACAGTGAGTTAGTATATCAGACATGGTCTGCTGGGGGGAGCCCTGAAGCTCATCATGAATAGAGGGAAGGCTCAGCCTGGATGCTTGCAGCATGGAGGAGAGGCTCAGACCCTTGTGTATTGATCATACTGGGCAGCTCTAGAGACCAATCACATAAGTGCATGAGGCATCCGTTTTATTAACACCTGCAGAGCATGCAAGAATTCCTCCCTAAGAGCCTGTTGGGTATGTCTATCGCTGTAGGTCAGTTTTCAAAAATGGATTATGCAGAACACAACACCCACGATACTCCTGGAAAAGAAACAGGATTCATAGCTAGGATGGTCTGAATATTTTATTATCCTCTTGGAGATTCATATAAACATATTAAAGGTTCTGAGAAGTTTGACTAAAGATAACTTTAATCTTGTTTAAGCTATCTTTTCCTACACATATGCGCACACAGATTTTCTCTTGACATGAAATATCCCACGCTTCAAAGAACTGTTCTCTAGGTATTCTAAGTTTTATTCTAACATGAAGCCAGACCCTTAGAGAATGACTTACCTGGATCTTACGGCACTGGCTTCTTGTACAAGAGTATCTGCTCTGCTGTGAGTTGCTACTGGCCCTTGTCCTACTTAAGGGCCCTTTCCAGAAAGAGATACAGGGAACTTGCCATTCTAGTCACTGTGGGCATCTCATTGAGTGTGTAACCCACATCATCACATAATGCACCTATTATAAAGACTCACAAAGAAATTTCTACTTTATATTATGGACCTATGTGTTAATTAATTAATGCTGTAACAAATTACCACCAAGTAAGTGGATTAAAGCAATACACATTTATTATCTTACAGTTCTGGAAGTCAGAAGTCTGAAGTGGGTCTCATTGGGCTAAAATCAAGGTGATGACAGGACTGCATTTCTTTCTTGAGGCTCTAAGGGTGAATTGTTATTATTTTGCCTTTTTCAGCTTCTAGAGGCTACCTGCATTTCTTGGCTCATGGCCCCCTTTCATATTCAAAGCCAGCAACAGCTAATCTAGTCTTTGTCACGATTACAATTCTCTGGTTCTTGCTCTTCTGTTTCCCTCTTCCACATTTCAAAGACCCTTGTGATTAAATGGGCTGGCCAGCTCCTGTTCTAGATACTTGGAGGCTTAACAGTGTACTGCTCTCTTTTTTTAAAAAAAATATATATATCTTTATTGATTTCAGAGAGAGGAAGGGATAGAGAGAGAGATGGAAACATCAATGATGAGGGAGTCATTGATCGGCTGCCTCCTGCGCCCCCGACTGGGGACTGAGCCCACAACCCAGGCATGTGCCCTGACCGGAAATGGAACAAACTTTGATCTCCTGGATCCTAGGTTGATGCTCAACTGCTGAGCCACGCCAGCCAGGCTGCTCTCTCTTTATGCAAAGGGAGAAGTGGGGTTGCTTAAGATCCCTGAAACATGTTGCACAGTTAGTTCTACTGTCATTTTTAGGTTTTGGTTTTAGTGTAGGGTTGTAAAGTTACCCAAGGGAAATTGGGACAGTGTGATATGTCAGTCACTTGAGAAGATAAAATGACATGTTTATTTATTAAGTCAGATTCTTTCTACATATTTTCAGAAGATTAGACACTGGCTTAAACTCTGATTAGGTTTTATTTATGGGTGGTTACCACCTTGGCCACACACATGTACCCATATGCTTACACCCTACTGTCCCCTCTGCTCAATCACTAGAAGCCTGAGAGGGAAGTGACTGTGGGCTTTGAGCTGCTTTTAATGTTTTACAAATCTTAAATGCAGTTTGTACGTGGAGGGAAGCATTGGATATTAAATCTGGATAACAGGATTAATTACTTGTTATAGAGCACCTCTTATCGGAGAGTACCTAAATTAGATAATACTAACTAGGCCTAGCATTTAGCAAGGTGTTTTCTTTTTTAATCTTTATTGAGATATTATTGATATACAAAAATGTACACACTTAATATATACATCTTTACAAGTTGGGACACATGCATATACTTGTGATAGCATCACTACAGCCAAGGAACTAAATATATCCATCACCTCCAAAAATTTCCTTGGGTTCTTTTGTATTTTCTTTTTTCATAAGAACATTTAACATGACATCTATCCTCGTAACGTATTTTAAAGTGCACAATACTGTACTGTTAACCGTAGGTACTATGTTGTACAGCAGATCTCTAGAATTTCTTCATCTTACACACCCACTGAAAAACAGTTCCCCGTTTCCTCCTGTCCTTAGTCGCTGGCATACACCGTTCTGTTCTCTGCTTCTGTGAGTTTCACTATGTTATACACCTCTTATAAGTCAAGTCATGCACATTTGTCCTTCTGCGACTAGCTTATTTCGCATAGTATAATGTCTTCTAAGTTCATGAAGGGTATCACACATGGCAGGATTTCTTTCTTTTTGTTTTTTTTTAAAGACTGAATAATATTCCATAAGGTAATGACTCAGGCACACTAAGCAGAGGCCAAGGCTCAGTTTGCTCCGGACTTCTGACTACTCCGAATTAAATTTCATTCTCTGCCTCCTGGCTCTCTCCATTTTTGGTTAGCTCACCCTTTTCATTGTATTGTCCCCATGTTTCCATAACTTTTCAGGTTCATGTTTGATTCTGTAAGTTGACTCTAGTCATGCTTCATTCATTTGGCAGGACGCTTCTACCTTGATTCTAAATCATTGTCCAAACTATCACTCTTCTAAAACAAGTTACCTTGGATCAGAATGCCCTTTTCTTCCAGACTCTTCTAATTTAACATACCCCTTTTAGCCTGGGAATAATGGCAAGAGCATTACAGGAACATTTTTTACCACATTTGACCATCTCAGCTTTCATTTGTCTACTTAAATATAAATAAAAAATAATAGGTTACTCTCCCCCATAAACCGGAGATCCACTGAGAGGTAGTCTGATTCTGGACTAACACTGTGTGGAATAACTAAAACATTTGTAGTCACTTTTTGCTTTTGCTAGTCTTGCTTGATTTCTGGACTTTTTGTTTCTTCCTTGGCAGTTGCTCTTTGCAAACTGTATTCTTACCTTTGCTCCATATGATCCTGCTTGCATGGTGCTGGTGGAAATACATGAGCAGTGCTAGTTTCCACACTATCTAAGGCATTTATTCCCCCACAAACACAAATGAGGCAGAGGTACACTTAAATTCAGTTATTTTGCCAAAAAAAGATACAGTGTTAAGATTTGCTATTTTTCTGTTAAAATTTTGTGTTATGGTTAGGCCAGTTTACACAATATACTCCTACCACTGAGTTTCATTCCCAGTTTAGAACTCTTTTCTATTTTTGGAGAAGAAATTTGCTGTTACTTACTTCGTGCTTTACCCAGATAGAGACCTATGAGAAAAATCACGAATTCCTTTCAGTCATTTCCTCAATAAGTTCTTAAACTACTAATAAATTAAAATGTATCCCATCATTAGTAATTTATTATTTAATGTGAAATGAATTTCTATTACCATCTTTTTTAGGAGGGAAGGGCAATGAATAATACTACTTCACAGGCTATCTTTTCAGCTGGAAACAGAACTTCCACTTTGAGAGACTGTGAAGCAGTCAGCGCTCATTCTGGCCGTGACATGACCTCCAGGGCTTGCAGATTTTTATCAGCTTCCCACTCAGAATGCCTCGTTTGTAGCCAAAGACAAGACGAACTCTCAGTTCTTCTTGATCATTTTGGTTGCTAATTTCTGGATGTTTTCCTTAAACCAAACATTTTTTTTTTTTTTTTTAATTTACAGGCTTCTGGATTCTTGAATCTTCTGTGAACAAACGAAGAGTAAATCAGAGAAGAACTGCTGCCTTGGTTCGTACACATACCCTGATTGGGATGCCCTGGGGTTGCTCATGCGGTCTTGTTCAGGGTACTCCGTTTTACCCAAAGCTGCTGAAAGCTGATTTCAACAGGGAGGGTGTTCTCCTGATTTCTTAGACCTCTAATGATTTGGAATATATGTGACATAAAAATAAGCAACTTAAACATTAATGGCTTCACTTCCCGAGCTCTGATTATTATGGTTTTCTGACATTCTGGCCTGAATTTGACCTCTGCTACTAGAGCTCTGATGCCCTCTGAACACTGAGATGTAGTCCCCAATTAGACTTTTGGTCCTGAAACAATGAGTGCAGTTGCTAAAGATCCTGTTGGTATGTAGGTGGGGACGGTCAGTAATTTCTAAGGAAGATGTTGCCATTTTAAGTTGTGAGCTTTGATATTTTCTGTGGTTAGTGATGACTGGTCTTGGCCAGTGCCCTGTGGATGGCTCATAGATGCATTCCTTGTTGAGACTGAGGATAACTCTGGATCCTTATTGTTCCAGAAATGAATGAAAGCAATGACAGGAAAGTCCGTAGAGTAGGGAAATAGGGTGTTGTTTGGAATTCACTGGGTGTTTCTTGGAATTCATTTCCATGGCTATCGCTAGACTTGAGGATATGGTAAATGCACGCACCAGAAGATTGTGGTTTGGGCTTTCATACGTTAGGGAAAAGAAGGGAAGAGAAGGAGAGTTCAAGTGTCAAGCATGTTGGAAGCACAACACCTCTTTGCTATCCCAGAACACTTTTGACCTTGGGAATATTGCATTATCCAGCAAAACATCTTTTTCTTTGGCCTGAAATAAACAAGGCAAGATTTTTTGTATTGCTGGGAAAATATACTCCTTCACGCTCTGATCTGAAAATAGTGATACTGTTAAGAAAGAGCAGGGACTTAGGTGAATGCATCAGACATTCACTTGATGAGGTGTTGAGTAAACCAGATGGTTTGTATCAAATGCCTTGATAAAATATTTTAGAAATCAAAGCTGGTTCCCATTAAAAAAAATAAACCCCTCTGGAAGGATTGCTTATGACTTTCACCATTTTGTTTTCATTTATTTCAAGTAGTTTTCAAAATTAAGTATATTTATGAGCACAAGCCAAGCTTGGACTATAGATTTTAAAGTCAATGTGCTTCACCCAGGATATTTGATCTCCAGTGGTGCCTACTCACCTGGTGCCTTCGTCCTATTAGAGCAACATCTGCTTAGATGGAGTACTGATATTTGTACACATCAAAACCCCAAACACTTGAATTTTCCAAAAATGAGAATATTGGGTGTTTCTCTTTGTGTGTGCTAATGTTATGGACTGATTTTGCAGAATCACTGCAGCAAGTTGTAAATGATGTATGAAATGAAAAATTCCTGTCCAGTGCACAGAGCGAATATATACAGTTCTGTGCAATCACTGCAGTGCTGGGCTATTTGTTTTAATATATCCTTCAGACATATAGTAATTTTTTTTTGGTGAGTCATATCCAGATGCTTGCCATTGGCAAAGAGCACAGACTTCCTTTATATATATTTCAAAAAAATGTTAGTTATGTATAAGTATATCTAAATTAATAGAATGCTGGATTTTAGAGGATTTGACCTTTAAAAAATAATATATTAAGAAAACAATAGCAATGTATTTGTTTTAAAAAATTAGGGAAATATTGAAGTGACCAAATAGTAAAATTTTTAATTCAATTATGGAAAATTAGCCTTTGTTTACATTTAGTATATATATCTTTTAAAGTTTATATCCCTGTGATTAGATGGCATTCTTTAGAAAATGCTTTTCCCATTAACTTATTTGTAAAGTTTTACTCACAATTACCAATAAGACTTGCCCACCTTTCCATGCTTCTCTGCAATGTCACTTTTAAGCACTGTGTCCTAATCAATTACATGGGCGTGGCATGAAGAAGTTTTACCCACTCCTATTGCACAGTGAATATGTAGGCTTTTTTTCTAACTTTGCGAATGCAAATAATTTCCTATATCAGTGCTGCAATGTTTATGTGGTTTCTGTAGTTTTGATTTATTATTTGGTAATGCCGAATTTGCCTCTTTTCTTCTCTTTCAAAATTTTCTTGGCTATTGTATTGTTTTTCTGTGTTGGATTTTGATGACAATTGGATGATACTTAGGAATGATTGGAGTAGATGTGGCATCTCTGTAATATTGTCATTCCATCGCCAAACATACTATGTCTCTCCATTTATTGGTAGATTTTCTAAAATAGGGTCACCTTTGAATACCAGAAATAAGCCTTCCTAAGACATGATGATATTTTATTAGAGTTTCTTCATCTAATGCTTACGTGGTACCTGAAAAATTCTTTTTTGTGCTATTTTTTGTTAATTTTTTGAACAGGTGTGATTATAGCCTCATAATATTAATTAACAAGATGTCCCCATCTTCCCCAGCCCTCCAACCCAACACCATGCCCTGCACCATTTTAATTAGCAAGGAGTTCGAGTGACCCCCCTCCTCTTCCATAAATGTGATAGAATTAATATCTATGTCTGGGTCATTTGGGGGGATAAAAAGCTCTAATTTCCTTTCAGAGTTATTGAAATGTTTAGATTGTTTTTATCCCTTATAAAATCAACTTTGGTAATTTATATTTTCCTATTGAAATATCAATTCATCTAGAGGTTAAATTTGTTACTATAGATGCATATAAAATATTCTGTTCCAATTTTAAAATAATCACATAAATATATTGTTATATCATTTCCCTCATTCTTAATATGAGATGTCTTTTTCTTGATGTGCTTTGCCATAGGTAGTTTTGAAGAACTAGCTATTAAATTTATTTACTATTTCCATAGTTTTTCTATTTTCTTAATAGCTTCTTAAGTTGCATCTTTGGTTCACTTATCTTTTTTGTTTGTTTACAAATAAAAAGATTTAAAACTATGCATTTTCCTATGATTTTTATTTTAGCTGCATCATATAACACTTGATATGTTGTATTCTTATTTCATGCATTGTGTAATTACCCGAAGTACCATTCTGATATCCTCTATGACTCAAAATTCTTTTAAAAGAGCAATTTTAAAATTTAAAGTGGTTGAATTTTAAGATTTCATCATTAATATTAATTTCTAGTTTAATTTAATTGTCTCTGAAATATACCTGCCATGACTTTTACTTGAATTTTATTGACATGATTCTTATGGGAGAGTATATAAGATCATCTTTGGGAAGGAGTCCATGGGCATTGGAGATGAAATTTATTTTATTTAGCGTAGAGAATTTAATCTTACTAATTATATTATCAAGCTCTTCTACATCATAGTTCCCTTTCTTTCTTCTTTGATCTTCTTTGACCCACTATGAGAGATATTGAAGTTATTTATTAATTTGTTCTTATTTTTCTTTAACTCTTATTTACAGAGATATGTGCATTCTGACAGTGCAGTATTATTTGACAAATAAAATTGTGTTTGCTTTGAATTGTACTTACTTAACATAAGAGCCCCCTTTGAACATTTAATGTGTTTTGCCTTGAATTTTTCTTTGTCTAATATTAATATTAAAAATTATATTTTTATCTCTTTAATATATCTTTGCTCATCTTTATTTAAAAATCTTAGTTTAAAGATTATATTTAACAAACATAATACTGCTTTGTACATTTTGGTATATTTCTCCTAGTTTTTATGTGTAACAGTTTCTTTTGGTTTTACTGATACCTCACACTCAGAATTATGTAATTATAAATGTAAAGAAGTATAAAGTGTAAGTAATTATAAGGTCTTATGATCATTTTAAAGTCTGCAGGATGTTAGTATTGATTATATGTACTTTTCCTTTTTTATTCTATCTCATCACATGTTTCTCTGTTTTATGCTTCTCAAAAATAACTACTTTGGCTTTGTTGATCATTTTCTATGATGTTTATTTTTTATTTTACTAATTTCTGCTTTTATCTTTGTTATTTGATGTTGGTGCTGTGTTTTGAAGGGTAAGGTAAATTTTGGACAATTTAAGAACATAAAATGCTTAAATATTTGTCAGACATAAAATGTTCTTGATAGCACTCACAAGAAAATAGGAAATACTGTTTTAATGTGTGTTGTTAAAGCAGCTGGTTCTTTCGGATCCCCAGAAGTTCAGAAATGTTAAAATAGAAGTTTTCTACACTTAGAATCATGTCAAGTCATTTAACCGTAAATGATCATTTCTGAGATACGGATGCTGTTTTAGGTCTTTTATTTATCTCCTAGGTTTATCACACTCAACTTATTCCCAGGATGTTCTTGTTCCCCTCACTTTTCCTAACTCTTGAAAAATCAGATTCTAAGATGGGAATGTGCCTCCTACAGGACACCACAGCACACATTTTATGATACATAGTATTTTTCTAGTAGATTTTATCTGTTATATGAGCCTGTCTTATATACAGGATTCTGTCCTTAAACAATATCATTGATTTTTATTTGTTTTGGTTACTCATATTACTTATCATGCATCCCTCCCCCCCCAATCTATCTCTCATTCTTGGATAGTATCAATTTTCTTCCCCTAATATTTCTGTCTTTGAAAAAAGCAGAGGGATGACATTGTTAAATGAGCCATTTAACTGAAGAATGGCATGTCAGACGTTCTTTCTCCGTATACATAATGAGAGAGATGTATGTAGGTTAATGTATGTATTTATAGAGATGAATATTATAGCTATTTTATGATATTTAAGACTAAATGCCACAGTTGTATTTTTTAAGTAAGTCTAAACTCCTCTTAAAGGAAAGCTGAGAAAAGTAGTAATTTGGAACTAGTTGGCTTAACTTAAAAAGCTCCCCTGTGACATCGGAGTGTGTTTCATGCAATTGCTTCCTTAGACGTCCTCATTAAAATATTGACTACTCCCTTTCTCCAGTAAATGCTAATCCTGGCTCCCATGTACATGTATTTACATTTCACTGCAGGCAGCCTGCCAGGTTAGAAATAAAACCAATTTGTTAATATTCCTATTTCCTTTTCAGCA